TGATGCTGTGAGAGCTGTTCTTCTCTATTACACATGGCAGGAAGCATTGGATACAAACTATATTTTGATCACGAGTGAATGGAGTGCACTCCTAAGAAATCAGGGCATGGCTGTCTTCAGGATTTTCATACAACTGACATATGGTTAGACATATAAGGTACATTTTTACATTTTCAGAGATGATTTAAACTATGATAAAGCAAGTTATGGTTTGGTTGCTGTGGTCAAGACACTGTGCTTAATTCAAACGTTGATTTTTTTTTTTTACTTCATGAATGTGTTTTTGAGAAAGTCATATAAATTCTCCTGCTCAGTTTCCTCATTCTAAATGGGAAATTTTATTATTAAAATCAGAGCATATAGAAGGTGATAAAATGATACACACAGAGCTCAGAAAATATAAATATACAAAAATATACACACAAATATACACTAAATTGTAATAGCCCACAAATACACAAAGAAAAATATAACTGCTCACATGTCCTTAAAAATCAGTCTTCAGATTGTAAATTCTTTCCAGTCCTCTTTCCTCTCTTCCCATCCTACATGCACCACTTCTCCTCCTCCTCTTTGTCATCTCTCTTCTGTATTTTCTCTCTCTCTCTCTCTCTCTCTCTCTCTCTCTCTCTCTCTCCTTTCTGTCTTTCTGGGAAATGCCTAGTTCTCTGCTTTCCTGTCCTCTGATGGTTATGCATTTCTTCATACTTAATGTAAGCAATCATTATTTCACATTTCCACATTTCTGTTGAAACCACATAATGTGTAACAGCACCAATTCCTGTGTTTTCTATTATCCATGCAATCATACTTTACTTTTTTCAATATACATGATTATGAATGTATTATGTATACTCACCATTTTGATATTTGTATGCAAAGGTAGTATGCTTTGAGTTTTTGTAAAGGATGCTGATATAGGTTTGTGGCAGACTGAAGTTATGTTAAACTTTATACAATATTTATATATACTATATATTTATACAACATATAATATATACATATACTATGTCTACAACCTAACACTAAAACATGGAACAAGAAATAACATTATGTTCAAAGTTACCTATGTTACAAAATGAAGAGGCTCCTGATTTATGTCTACTTAAATTTCCCTAAGCATTAGGGTTTTGCCTCACAACTCTTCTAGAAAGATCTAAATTGAAGCTTTGAACTGCTTTAGAGCTGGTAGTCTGGCTTGATAATTCTTCCAAAATGAGCTGATCAACCAAGTCATCAAAGAGGAGTTTCAGAAATCCATTAGGAAGGATAGGAGAGGAGAAAGAGAAAAGTGCTTTCTCCAACGTTTCAAAAATAGTAAGATAAGAAAGTTGAGACATTTAGGGACAATAGTAGATCAACACTGAGGGGAGAAAAAGAGGATTAGTTGTTTTTGGAGAGCATCTTCTCCAGAGAGCTGTAGAAAGAAATTTCTATTGAGACACAGACAAGTAATAGGTCTTTTATTGATAGCTAGTAATCATATATAAAAAATATGGTGGATTTATGGACTTAAATAACAATTTCAACTAAGATTTGAATTCATGATTATCATTTGTAATAACACTTTATTTTTTGAAATACATTTCAAAACAATCACCTAGAATAATAACCTTTCAGCTCATCCTTCTAATATTTTTGGATTTTACAGACATTTTATATTAACAAAGAAATTCTGTTCCTTGTAGATATCCTGGTGCTACAATTCGCCTTGTTGCTAAGATAGTGGGCCATGTGGATAGTTGGGCATGAAGAGACAAATCTTCCAAAGTTACTGCTCAAGGAGATGACTAATGGCATCCTGTATAGCTCTAGAATTTTCAAGACTATAGCTATTAGAGAAAAGAAAGTCATGGACTGTTTTTCCTCTCTTTCAGGTACACAAGCATTGCCTAAAATAAAGAGGATATCAGTATTCACAAGTTCCTTTTGACATAGAGTTTATAGAATATGATGATAAAAGCTATGAAGTTGGCTGAGTGTGATGTCACATGTTTATAAACCTCGTACTTTGGAGGTTGAGGCACAAATATCAGGAGTTTAAATTCATTCAAGCTATCTGGTAAGTTTGAACCCAATCTGGTCTCACAAGGACCATGTCAATTCTCATGAAAACAACAAACAGAAAAACCCTATCAATCTTTTTTTTTTTTTAAATGAAGTAGAGAGCTTGGGATGAGGTTATTCATTAATAATTCAATAATTCAATAATACATGGCTATTTTGACATCAAGCTGTTTTGCTACCTATTTTTAAAATATTTTTTATTCTTTTTGAATTATATATATATATATATATATATATATATATATATATATATAAACAATATATTGTGATCCTATCCTGCTTCCTAGATACTCAAAGAGCAGAAAGTGAACAATTTTTAATTTCATTTCTAGTTTACTTCCAGAATATCACTATCTTTGATTCACTTGATGTGGCCACACAGCTTTACTGTATGCATTTGTCAAGAAAGTGAAGAAAAAATGAAAATATTTGTCTCATCTAAATAAGAGTTTATTTGTGTTTAGATTAATTTTTAATTATTATTTTTGTAGCAAAAATTCAATTTACAGTAAAATTGAATTTAACACCTTATGTTAATCATCTCCTAAATGATGTAAAATCATAACCCTTGTGATCACAACTACAAAATTGTCTCCATTTTGTATGTTTTATTAGAAAAATGATAGTGCCATTTTAGTTGAAACTAATCTTAATTAAGATGTACAAAAAGATGCTAAGATTTACCTAATTTTAAAAATAACATTGAACCTGTGTACTTTGGAACATATCACTCAGGACTATTTTTTTTTTCTTTCTGTAAGATGGTCTTTCTATTCTACCATTAATTATTCAGAACCATAGAAAGTGCTGTGTGTTGAAACCATCATATCTTGCAACTATGAAATCAAGTACTTTGCCTTGTGAATAAATATAAAGAAAATTACTTAACAGCTTGTGGGAGCCTGTGGGAGTCAAGCTCTAACCTGCTCTCACCTATTGAAGGGTTCTTAGGTGGAGGAGAGAGGAATGAGAAAATATCAGATAGAAAGATAGACCTAGACAACGAGGAGAAAGACAAAGACACGGGATAGCTTTAGGAGGACCCTGGGTCAATACCCAACAGCCCAGAACTTTATTCAAAAGAGCTTTTTATAATATGCCAAAGGGAGATGCAAAAGGCCTCCCCCTTGCAAGATCAAAGCACACCTTACAGCCAAGTGTAGACCCTTTCAAACACCTAGTAAACACGCCCTTGGCCAAATCATCCTATTATGCAGCCCTGTTGGGTAAAGAAAGCTCATAGTCTCTGACCCTAAGTAATTTGTGCCTCCACAACAGTGTTGGTTATGCAAAGCAAGAGTTGTATCTAAAATTGAATTCTCTGGTGCATGTTGTCTAGTGTTACTTATTCTTAGTCCTTAACATTTCTTCCTATAATTTTTGGTTCTATAATTATTATTATTGTTTATTTTTTAAAATGTGAACTGGTGTTTTGCCATGATTGTCCGGTACCCTGGAACTGGAGTTATAGACAGTTGTGAGCTATCATGTGGGTGCTGAGAATTGAACCCCATTCCTCTTAAAGAGTAGTCAGTATTCTTAACCACTGAGCCATCTCTCCAGTCCTCCTCCAATAATTATTTTTATATGATTACCATAAAAGCTTTGATACTTCTTTCTATTAAATTTTTCTGTTCTAGTTAAATACATGAATTAATTACCATGAGTGATATTTTGACATTTTCATTTGACCTTATGCATCAACCTTGGAGAGGAGCAAGCAGGCTGTTTATGAATGTGGTGTTTTAGAGTAAATTCATATAGATTTCAAATCATATATATTGCCAAACTATACTATCTGAAGAAAGTCATATTGTATTAATAACTGGCAAGTACCTAAGCCTCAAGAGTCTAAATTTTATTCAAAGAGTAGTTTCTTCTTCAGATATATGCTGCCACCAGTTTTCATGTTATCCAACTAGCCCCTTCCTTCTGATTCTTCAACATCAATTATTCTGTTATCTTGATCCAGATGCCTTTGCCACATGAAGAAGGTAATAACATTATTTAACCTTCGCTGAAAGAGGGAGATGGCTGAAAAACAATGCTACTCTGAAGTTTTCACTGAGGAATTCAAATTCTGTCTTTACCCAGTTGACTCTGGGGAGACCTCCTGGGTGTTAGTGCCTGGGTCTCTTAAGATCCCAGATTAATCATCTACTCTTTGTTATCTTAACAATATCATTATAAAATTAGAACAAAAATAAAATAGAATCCATAACATTTGCCAAATACTTTTGACTACTGGGTGAGTCTTGAAGCTCACATAGCTTGTAGTCTCATTAATTTCATTTAGTTTTTATGACAGCATCCTGATTTTTTATAAAGTTATGGACACATTTTAGAATGATGAATTTAAAGTAAAATTTCAACATTTTGAAAACACACAACAGAAAGAATGTTCCTTAAAGAAGTGGAGATGGATTTTTTTATGTTGAAATACCCTTCATAGTTGTAAAAAAAAATCCACAGTACAGCCAGATTTTCAAGTGAACAGTTTGCCACTTCTCTTGTTGATAGCTAAGGTAGATTCTGATTAATCACTAATGATTAGTCATACTGGACTAATTCATACGATGTCAGAAAGTATTATTACGTTATCATTTGTTCATATCTAGAATGCAGTTTCTAAATGCTTTTCAACATTTCACTTCAAAATTACTAAGATAATGATACAAAATGACTGTTCCAAGGTACATTATTTCTCTCCTTCAACAGAGAGCAGATTCTTTAATCCCATTTTAAAATGTCTCTCTTCTAAGGTATTCAAAATTTTATCCTGACCTCAATTCTGCACACTATGTAACTATACACTTTACAAACGTGTTTGTAATAGTAATAAAATAAATCACAGTAATTTTACATAAATGCACACCAACTTCTATAAAGTGTATTAAGTATTTGGGTTTTTTTTCATAATTGTAGATGTACTTGAACACATCTTACTTTCACCATCATCTTGTGAACTATGGAAAACCAGAGCTGTGTCACTGAGTTCATATTCTTGGGCCTTTTACAGAACTCAAAAGTTGAGAAAATATTGTTTGTTGTATTTTCTTTGGTCTACCTTGCAACTATTGGAGGCAATATGATGATTGTGGTGACCATTATCTACAGCCCTGCACTGCTGGGCTCCCCCATGTACTTCTTCTTGATATTCCTGTCCTTACTGGATGCATGCACTTCTTCTACTGTCACACCCAAGATGATTGTAGACTTCTTCTATGAGAGGAAGACCATCTCCTTTGAATGTTGCATTACACAACTGTTTGCTGTCCACTTTTTCACTGGCGTAGAGGTGATTGTCCTGGCATCCATGGCCTATGACCGCTATGTGGCCATTTGTAAGCCCCTTCACTACTCTTCCATCATGAACCGGAGTCTCTGTGGACATCTTGTGGTAGTTGCCTGGGCAGGAGGATTCTTGCATTCTATTATACAAATTATCTTCACTTTGCAGCTGCCCTTCTGTGGACCCAATGTCATTGATCATTACATGTGTGACTTGTTCCCATTACTGAAGCTTGCCTGTACTGACACACATATATTTGCTCTTTTGGTGTTTGCCAACAGTGGGTCTATCTGCATCATCATCTTCTCTATTTTGCTTGTCTCCTATGGTGTCATATTGTACTCTCTGAGAGCCCACAGCTCTGAAGGGAAATTTAAAGCTCTCTCCACCTGTGGATCTCACATTACTGTTGTGGTTTTGTTCTTTGTCCCATGCATATTAACATATGCAAGACCAATATCTGCATTCTCCTTTGAGAAAAATGCTGTTGTATTTACCACAGTCTTGACACCATTGCTCAATCCTATGGTTTACACTTTCAGGAATAAGGAAATGAAGAGTGCCATCAGGAAAATGTGGAATAAATTAATAGTGGTTTCTGACAGTTATTAAATATTACCCTTATTTTGTTGTGGAAATAGATCAGTGGGTAAGAGTACTTCATGCTGTGCTAAGAGAAGGACATCAGTTCTGATTTCTAGCACCCGTGTCAGAAGCCAGGCATCATAGGGCCCCTTAACTTAATGTTGGTTCAAAAGTTATAAGTAGATACCAGAAATTCAGAGGGCTGTTAATCTACTCAAACATAGAAATCTAAAATTTCATTCCAGAACTTTCCCAAGGGCAATCAGGTAATGTACATAGTCAATGTGGTCCTATTTATTTGCATATATATGTGCAAGTACAAACAGCATGCTCTCCCTCTTGTGTACAAACATATATGCTACCCACTCACCCATTCATTCATCCCAATATGAACATCAAGAAAAATGGGCACACTTCAAAGATAATGGAATGATAAAGAAGTCAATATGTACCCACAGAGTTACTATGTTATTTAGGTATTATATAGAATGAAATGACATTATTCCGTAGAGGGTCCTTCAACATTTTAGGTGAATATTTTTGAGATTATAATTAAATACATTATTTTTCTTCTACCTTTTCTCCCTTCAAACTATCCCACATAAACCTCATTGCTCTCTTTCACAGTTATGGCCTTTTTCATTAATTGTTACTATGTGCATATATGTACATACATGTATATTCCTACATATAACTGTCTCAGTCTATATAATGTTACTCATAGGTATGTTTTCAGGGCTGAACTTTTGATATTGGATAACTAATAGGCATACTCTTTCCTGAAGACTATTTCTCCCCCAGTCCCTGGTTATGGTGACACACAATGGTAGGATGTGCTGAAGAGGTATAGGCAGGAGGATCCTGAGATACCTCTTTTTGAGATTACATATTTATAATGAATTAACTACTTAATATTATGACATAGCAACACTAGTTCATGTGACAATAAAATTACAACTTTATACTCTCATAAATCTAACGAACATTGGAAGAGATTTAAGTATTAAAATGTTTGCCATTTAAACAATGTCAGTAATATGAAAGTAGGTTGATAACCTGAATATGTATTGAAATGAGGAAAAATATGAAAATTTTTGCAAGGGAAGAATAAGATTCTAAGTAACATTATGAGACATCATATCCAGGAAATGCATCAAAAGAAACATGAATATGAGCTGAATTCTGGATGTTTCTGTATCATTTGACTTCATTTTTAAATTAGTTCCATTCATGTCAAGTAGAATACGTGAGTAAGTTATCTAATTTCTTTCTTTTTTTTTTTTTTTTTTTTTTTGGTTTTTCGAGACAGGGTTTCTCTGTGTAGCTTTGCGCCTTTCCAGGAACTTGCTTTGGAGACCAGGCTGTCCTTGAATTCACAGAGATCCACCTGCCTCTGTTTCCCGAGTGCTGGGATTAAAGGCGTGTGCCACCACCGCCCAGCAAGTTATCTATCTTGACAAATAAGTATGAGTAGACTGTCTTGAGTTTCTCTTAGGTGATGTCACTAACTCATCCCAATGAGCTCTGTGACCTAATTCCATAAGGAAAATCCCAAAAAATCTCCCTCATACAAAGGTAGGCATTGGGCATCCCTTTACTTGTTAAGATGTTGACAACATATTTCTCCCACTTTTTACAGGGAAAATAAAACCCAGAGAAACTAGATTCAAGATTATATTTCATAAAAGAAATATATTTCAAATTCTTGAATGATTTTATCATTCTAAATTTACTGTATGTTATATATATATGTATATGCATATATATATATATAATTTTCAATGAGATCATTGAGATTTAAGCATATTATATATCACTTATATTAGCTATCTCTATGTTGTCAAATTGAATTTGCAGGAAAATAATTTATTACAGCATTCTTCCTCTTTAGTAGGACAGGCCAATTAAATATTAGGGGCAAAGCTACTAAATACTCATAGTTTACATACTACACATATTATATACACAAAATGCCAAAGTATTAGAGCCGGCAGAAGATACATGACATTGTATTGCATTTCAATTGGAGAAGGTATAATAATTAAGATCTAGATCAAACAATATCTGAATAAAGTGTGTAATATCAATATCAGATGAAATGTGTAATAGAAATTTAGAGATTTTGGGGTGATTTGCCCACATAATCTCTGTTTGTCATCAGACTCCAAGGAAAAGCATCTTCTTGATGTTCTTGCCCCACAAAGAGAGGATATTTTTCCCCAAGATTGTTCATTTGTCCCCAAAAATTATCTTAGAAAATGAACAACCAATGTCAGTGGATCAACTGATTCATGTAGCTGCTAATCTAATGTTTAAAATGAAATCATGAAATAAATTATTTTTGTTATAGTACACTATTTAAAGCAGGTTTATTTTGTTCCATCACTTATCAAAATCAAATGTTTTTCTTTTATTATTTTAATTCAAAATATTCAGTTGTAGATTCTGGTAAACTTCCAGTTTTCTCTTGCTGTATCTCCAAAAGAGTCCATGTTCCTTTCAACCCCAGTTTATCTATACATGTTTCTCATTTCTTTATTCCCTTTCACCCAGTTCGTGTCCATATCAAAGCCTTGAAGATAGCAGCATCAAAGCTTATGAAGAAGTTCAATGACCTAGGGGAGAATCTACTACTGTTTTTTTTTTCCTGAATAGACATGATGGCAACCTTCTATACATTTGTGTTTGTATCCCCAGTGCACTTCTTATCCTGGGATAGAATAGCTTCTTTTTGCAGTGTGTGATGCTTAATGCAAAGGATTATACAGCTTCCAAGTGCAGAGGTTAAGTGACTGTTTAATGTTCATCCTAAATGGGACAGGTATATGATCCCCTCCCTAGATCCAGGATATATCTTGGAAAAGACAGGGATATCATAAGAACTTGAGGATGATGAAGATTTCACTGAAACATTGTCTTTAGGAAATGGCATGATCATTTCAGTCATAAAAAGAATCAGCACCTATTGATTCTTGCACTGGACTGGCACAAGTTCCATCATGTATAGGGAGGGAGTCATGAATCCCCAAGTCTCACTGAGGAGCCACTGACAATTAAATGTCCCTGGTTAAGGAGTACCGTTTCTTTAAGCATATAGCCCCAGGAATGGTGCTTATGATCCATCAAATAATCTGCAATCAATCACCCTTAAAGCCAGTGGGTCAGAATTGATGGGATCATATATAGTAGGAGGTATATTTGGGAAGAAGAAAGGGATCAGCATAATTGGAATGGCCATAAGAAAATATACTGTGCAATGTCAATGGGGTCACCGAACACTGTACACACACCCATATAGATATGCACGCATATATATCGTACATATGCATATATATGTACATATATAGATGAACTTGTCAAAAAACAAAAACAAAAATGCTCTTAAATGAGTATTTTATTAATGTATATATTTTTACATATTTATATATGAAATATTTTTCTTTAATCAACAGTCCTTGCTAATGTTTCACAGAACAGCAGATATTATACAGATTGATAGATAAATTTCTTGAAACAGAACTCAGCTCTTATCATGGTTTGTGAGTAAGTGAGCATTTTACCTAAATTATACACAAAGACATTACAATTTATTCAATATGCAAAAATTTCCTAATCCTGAAAGTGAAAATGGTTTCATACAGAACCAGCCCTCAAATTTCTAAAAACTTTGGAAGGAAATGAAAACATTACAAACTCTCAAGTAAAAAAGTGAATAAAGTTATGTCTCCAATATTCTTGGAGCCCATAGTTATCCAAACCCCAGGGGAGCTTTGAGGAAGTCTCACAGGTAGATGACCTCTCACGGAACACCTATTAATTGCAGTTGCAGTTAGAGAGTGAATTTGGCTCCTTCATTTTTCTTCTATTATTAAATCATGTTGACTATGGCTTGAAGTAATTTGACTACTGCTGCCTTCACTACCAAACCTGGTCTTCTCTTTTCTGTGCAGAAGGAGACATTGGCTAAAACATAGCATTTTGGTCACCATTACATGAACTGATTTCAGTAGTAGACAAGAGATAGGTGTCTTCAGGATTTACACACAGTCAACACAAGGTGAGACTCAGAGGTGCATTTCTGCATTTATGGAGACGTTTTTAAATTGTGATAAAAACACTTTAAATTTGGATGCTGTAGTCAGGCTACTATGTGTTTAATGCAATAATCGACTTTTTAGTTCATAATTGTGTTCTTGAAATTTTCTATCAACTGTGATGCACAGATCCCTTATCTTTAACGAGGATTTTTTATGGTCAAAGTTAGGGTACATAGAAATGAATGAAATGATACTCTAAACACCAGAAAATAGCTGTTTAAAGTAATAATTCCTCAAGTGCCCAATGCATTAGTTGTCAGTGTGCAAAGTCCTTTCTTCCCTCCTTCCTTCCTTCTTTCCCTCAGCCCTCTGTTCCTTCCTCCTTTTCCTTCTTGCTTTCTTACTTCATAGGCTGTTTATTCTCTTCCTTCTTATATATTTCCCCAATTTATTGAAATGAAAATAATTTTCAACTTGTCATCATCAAATTGAAGCCAAATAATCTAGGAGGCAGCATGTTTATCTGTACAGTGTCAAACAAAACTTTGCCATTTTATTAAAACATACTCACACATTACTCTATTCAGCATTCTAATGCTTGAATTAAAGGTAGCATGCTTTGATATTTGTGAAAAACACAGGTACAGCATCATGACAGACAAAATGCTGCTAAGCTCTATACAGTATTGAAAATCAATATAAAATGTTCTATTTGCACAACTACATACTAAGACAGGGCACAGGAAGAACATTATGGTCAGAATAATTAACCTCATAAAGTGAAGTTGTCTGATTTAAGCTCCTCTCATACACTTAATTGTCTCTCAGTATTAGGATTCTACCTCTGGTCTGTTTAGGAAATTAAGTGGTTAATGCACTGAACTGCTTGAATGGCAGTAGTCATGGCCTGGCTCATCATTTAAAATGTGATGAATCACCTAGATATCAAAGGAGAAGTTTCAAAATTCCATTAAGAAAGAAATGGGAAGAAACAGAATTCCCTTGTATTACAGAAATAGTAAAACAAGTGAGTTGAGCCAT